AGAATAGTTTTGCACTGATTTGTGTGAAATGATAGCCGCTATCATCCAACAACCTTACCTCCTCTGACATGCAATCCTTTCCCTGTACTCTCCAAGCAGCATCATCTGATGTGTGCAGAAAATTGCTTGCTTCAGCGTAACGGCTTGTTTTCCTTGGGCTGTCCTGAGCACATGATAGATTAAGTAGGTTGCTGACATCACTGGTTCCTGGGAAGCGATTGGCTGTCCTTTGGGAAGATGGAATTGCACATCAGGAAGACACAATGGTGGCAGGAGATGGAGCAACGCTCACTATGACAGAACAGCTGCCTCTCAGTCTCCCTGCGGATGGGATTCTCTGCTCTCCTATTGTCAGACTGATTCAGAAAGTGGAGGAAGCCAACATGCTTTGTGGGATTAATGGCTTCCAGTAACCAGACAAGCCCAGCTGCTGTCTTACTTGTAGACTGGGGTGGGCTGCTATGGCTTTGTACAGAGAAGTTGGTACCCGGAAGGTCACTTCTGTGAATTTGGTTACCGGGTTTTTTCAGTATCTCCGGGGTAAGTCAGCGAATACTTTTAATCGTTGTTTTTATTACCTAATTAATCGTTGTTATTTCACTGGCTGCTAATTAATGGTGTATGCGTTGACTTGTAATTACACAGTGGGGGTAGATTTACAAAGTAACGCAGCTTGATTTCTATGTCATTCTCCCTTTTTTCTTTCTTTATAAAACATTTTTTGTTCTTTTTTGCAACTTGTAGGTTGTTTTTCCCCCCGAATGTGCAGTGTCTAAAGCTGACCATACACAATTCAATCTGATTGTACAATTTTGTACAATCTCTTTCAGATTTACCAAAACTATGTAATATGAGAACACAGCTGAACAATGTGTACCATTTGCATCCAATCAGACAAGCCTTTATACTAGATAGTTGATGATATTTATAAAGAAGAGTGTACAATCAGATTGCATAGTGTATGGTCACTTCAAGGGTCACCATACATGATACAATCTAACCCTATAATATTTGGGCAATTAACTTTAGATCTTCCAAAACTATGTAATATGAGGACCTACCTAATCTATTCAACGAATCTGTATCCAATCAGACAGGGCCTTGCACTAAATACTTGTTGGTACATCTAAATGAGATTGTACAATCAGATTGTAATGTGTATAGAGAGCTTAAAGGAGAACTATGGGGTTAGGGCTTTTCCACATAGTTCTCCGAAGGGTAACGGGAGGACACAAACTAGGATCCTCCCGTCACCCTAAGCTCAGTATACCGCGAGCTACAGCTCACGGTACACTGAGACGCTGCAGCTGAAACGGATCCCAACAATTATGTCTGGATCCGCCCAGCTGCGTGAGTGACAGCTGGCTCTGCCTATCTAGAGGCAGAGCCAGCTGTACCCGCCCCCGTCCATTCCGCCAGTCAGCGCTGGAGGATCGGAGCGGGGAAGGGGGAAATCCAGTCCCTCCCCTGTCATAGCTCTCTGCCGTGACAGGATCGAGAAGTGAACGAACGCCGTTATGTGTTCGCTCACTTGCGGATCTACTGAGCCGACCTGTGACAGTTTCATTGTCACAGGTCGGCTAGAACTATGAGGATGAGTGAAAAGCACTCACCTCATAGTTCTCCTTTAAAGCTCACCACACACTACAATCTGGTTGTACAATCTCATTTCTTGCTCATACACACAGATGTAATGAAATTACTGATTATCTATACAGGATCTTTCTAACAGATGTTTGCAGAAAGATCCTGTGTAAAAAACACATTAATTGTTTTGTAAATTAGTGAATGCAACAAAACGAAAAAACATAAGCGCACAACTCATGATTGGTTACTGGAAAAAACATGGGCTATGAATTATGGTGTGCAGGCTCTCACTAGCAGGGAGAGGACCCTGCCAATTCGAGTGGTAAACAGAAAAACACAAGAAAGAGCGCTTCTACCTGATATTGAATGGCATCTATTCATGAGGGAAGGAACAAATATATATGACTTACAGTTGGAAGTCTGCAAATGTGTCGAGGATGGTGAAACAAGGAACGGTGTACAGAGGAAGTCCAAGAACAAAATACTGCAGCACTGGATGGATGAGGGAGCGCTGTGAAGTTACCTAGCGGCACGCGTGCACGGCTGGCCAGGTCTTTGCCCTAAGACTTGACAAAGAGGTTGTGCCTCGAAACGCGTAGTCATCACGATACAGCGAGCCCGTCTGTGCACAGCGTCCACTTTGCCCATCGATTTGACTCCACTACACACGCACCGAACACAGCCGCTCGCGGTCCCGGTTCCACAACCGCCGCGGTCCTTCCCCCCTCAGCCGCCGTGGCCCGGCCTGGCCAGCCGTGCACGCGTGCCGCTAGGTAACTCCACAGCGCTCCCTCATCCATCCAGTGCTGCAGTATTTTGTTCTTGGACTCCCTCTGTACACCATTCCTTGTTTCACCATCCTCGACACATTTGCAGACTTCCAACTGTAAGTCATATATATTTGTTCCTTCTCTCATGAATAGATGCCATTCAATATCAGGTAGTAGCGCTCTTTCTTGTGTTTTTTTGTAAATTAGTGACCTAACGTGTATGGGGACCCTAACATGTACTGTGACCATCACATGTAAGGTCACCCAAATGTGTATGGTGATCCTAATGTATATGGTGACCCTACAGTGTATGGTGAGCAAACATGTATGGTGAACCTATTGTACATGGTGACCCTAACGTGTATGGTGAACCTATTGTATATGGTGATCCTAACGTGTATGGTGACCCTAACACGTATGGTAACCCTAATGTGTATGGTGACCCAAATGTGTATGGTGACCCAAACGTGTATAGTGACTCGAATGTGTACGCTGACCGTAACGTATATGGTGACTTTAATGTGTATGGTGACCCTAACGTGTATGGTGACCCTAATGTGTATGGTGACCCTACTGTGTATGGTGACCAAACGTGTATGGTGAACCTATTGTATATGGTGACGCTAACGTGTATGGTGACCCTAACATGTATGGTAACCCTAATGTGTATAGTGACCCAAATGTGTATGGTGACCCAAATGTGTATGGTGACCCAAACGTCTATAGTGACTCTAATGTGTATGGTGACTCGAATGTGTACGCTGACCGTAACGTATATGGTGACTTTAATGTGTATGGTGACCCTAACGTGTATAATGACCCAAATATGTATGGTGACTCTAATGTGTATGGTGACCCTAATGTGTATGGTGAGTGTAATGTGTATGGTGCCCCTAACATGTATGGTGACCCAAAGGTGTATGGTGACTCTAATGTATATGGTGAACCTAACGTGTATGGTGACTCTAATGTATACGGTGACCCTAACATGTATAGTGACCCAAATATGTATGGTGACTCTAATGTGTATGGTGCTCCTAACATGTATTATGACCCAAATGTGTATGGTGACCCTAATATGTATGGTGACCCTAATGTGTATGGTGACCCAAATGTGTATAGTGATTCTAATGTATATGGTGACCCTAATGTGTATGGTGATTCAAATGTATATGGTGACCCTAATGTGTATGGGGATTCTAATTTATATGGTGACCCTATTGTGTATAGTTATTCTAATGTATAGGGTGACCCTAATGTGTATGGGGATTCTAATGTATATGGTGACCCTAATGTGTATGGTGATTCTATTTAATATGGTGACCATAATGTGTATGGTGATTCTAATTTATATGGTGACCCTAATGTGTATGGTGACTCTAATGTATATGGTGACCCTAAACTAATTAAGGGGATGGAGGACCAAAGCTATGAAAGGAGGTTGCTAAATTTAGACTTGTTCATGCTGGAAGTGAGGAGATTAAGAGGGGACATGATTGTAATGTACAAAATGTTTAGTGGTGATGACAACATCAGTAAACAACAACAGCAGTAAACTTTTTTACAGTAAACTCCGTAACAAGCACTAGAGGCCACCACTTAAAATTGGTAGAGAAAAGATTTAACCACAAAGGTTGTAGGGGCTTCTTCTCAGTCAGAGTGGTTAAATGCTGGGACTCTCTGCCACAAGCAGTGGTATCAGCTGAGAGTATTGAATCATTCCAAAAGCATTTAGATACCTTCCTCAGAGACCCTAACATACAGGGGTATAGGTACGTTTAAAACCTAGAACCACACAGGGACTCGCATACACATACGCACGCACTATACACACACTTACATATAAGGTTGAAATTGATGGGCCTGTGTCTTTATACAACCTCAAATACTATGGGGTGTATTCACGAAGCTGCCGAGAGCAGCCGAGTGAATGACTGATCTGAAGTGAAGTGAGCCGAACACTGTTCGGCTATTCACTTCAGGCTGGTACGGCTAATTTCAGCCGTACATCGGCTGAAATCAGCCGTACTTCGAGTTGCTTCGTGTGGCTTCGGGTCGGTCGAACATGCTCAGCATGTTCGGCCGACCCGAAGTGCAGAAGGAGTTCGACTCAGCCGATCCAACATCTGGATCGGCAATAAACCCCTATGTAACTATGTGCATGGTGACCCAAATGTGTATGGTGACCCTCATGTATATGGTGACTCTAATGCGTATGGTGACATCAGAAGAAAAACTAGTTTAGCTAATTTGTATTTAATTCATACGATGTAGAAAATGATTTAATCCTAATGATGTGTCTGATTGGTGGATGGCTGCTGTGTTAGGTAAAAACTCTACATTTCTTTAATTCCAGTTCTGAAGCTTACAGTCCCGCTCTAACAAAGTATATATAGTGAAGGAAAGCTGGTTGATGATTCTCTAGCTCATCCATTCAGAAAACATTTTGCATTCTTTTCACAGAATAGAAGGTGTACTGTGATTGGATGAGGGGAGTACATGCTGCTCATCCTTCCTGCCTCCATTCACAGACCACCTGCATTCAGTAAACAAAAAAAAATACATACAAGTCGTTTTCTAAATATATGAGATGGAAAATGAGACCTTCACTGTATGTACTATGCTATAGCTGGAACTGTAAATGTCAGCCCTGGAAGTTTGATGCTTACAGCAGTGTTAGAATGAAAGTTAGTTGTTACCTAATAAAGGTGCCAGCCACCAATGGGGCACATCATTAGAGGTAATAATTTTAACAAACGTGCAGCTTTAGGGCTTATTCAGATGGTCGTACACATTTGTACGGCATGCTCGCCCGTGAAAAGACCCAATCCCATACGGGACAGGTTCTGCTGTGTGCAATTCTGCACAGCCGCCTGTCCTTCCCTATGGGACGACGCTACTGCACTAAATTAAACGCAGTCACGTGCACATCCAAACCTGCACATGTGTGTGGGTCCGGGTTCCTGCATAAGGACGCAGATGCATCAGAGTCCCCCCTTCACATCAGAGCCCCATATTCACACCAGGAGTCCCCTTTCAAATCACTGTCCCCCTTTCACATCACTGTTCCACATTCACACCAGGAGTCTCTTCACATCAGAGTCTCAAAATCACGTCAGAGTCCCCCAATTACAGCAGAGTCCCCCTTTCACATCAGAGTTCTCCTTTCACATCAATTCCCCC